CGAATCCGTGCGACTTTGTCATACAGATACTGCACAAAATCCTCTGCCCTCCCCTCCAGGGGGTCCCCCCCCCTCCAATTGAAGGAGGGAGCGGGTCACCCTGAAGAGGGCGGCAGGGCGGTTATCTGATGACGCGATGAGTGAGGCATAGTAGTTAGTCCTAGCCTCCCTCAGCGCCACTAGGTAAGATCTAAGATGTCCTTTTTTTTTGTTTTCTTGTGAAAACCGTAGAGCCATGGTGGTACAGTGGTTAAAATGCAGTACTGCAGGTTAACTCATTGCTCACTTCAGGAGTTTGAATCTTACCGGCTCAATGTTGACTCAGCTTCCATCCTTCTGAGATCGGTAAAATGAGGACCCAATTGTTGGGGGGCAATAGGCTGACTTTGTATACCACTTAGAGGGGACTGTAAAGCATTGTGAAGTACTATTGCTATTGCTTTTCCCACTAGAAATCTGAATTCTTTGAGATAGCCTGTCATTCTAATGTGTATTGTTTACATATTACATATGTATTGACATATACATTGCTTCCTTTATTATATATAAAATCAATATAATCAGAATCCATAGTAAAATAGACAAATTAAATAAATGTTTGTACTTTGTGTACATTACCAAGTCTCTTGAAAGATACAATCTAAGATTCTTTTTTTTCCTTTTGATGAACACGTCCTCTTGTTCCTTGTTTTTCTGATTCTTAAATTTAGTACTTGACCATTTGATAATATCTTCCTTTAATATATGTATCTTTCCCTCGTTTGCAGGTTGTTATGGTGTTGATGGTGAAAGTGATTCTATTATGAGTTCTGCTTCAGAAAATTCCACTGAACCATGGTTCTGTGATGCTTGCAAATGCGGAGTCTCTCCAAGCTGTGAACTTTGTCCCAATCAAGATGGAATCTTTAAGGAGACAGATGCTGGCAGGTTAGTTGCAATAAAATACAAGTAGGTCTCTGAAAATTATCCTTTGGTTTTTATGCTTTTTAAAATAAATTTATTTGGTATATATAAAGAAGCAAAAATATACAAATAAGACAAACAATAACAGATATAAACAAAGACAAAAACAAAAGCATATTTTAAAAGCTCAATTTTGAAACACATATTAAAATGTGATTATGTAGAATAATATTGATTTGTCTTTCCATTGCAGTTCATTAGGACAGAGTAAATGCCTTACAGTCCAGGACTAAGTATTTGTTAATGTAAAATAGTAACTTAATACCAGTCATACACATGGAATTAGCTGATATTTAATAATTAAAAGGAATATAAAAATGGCTAACCTAAAGAGTGACTTAGATAACTTGTTTATATTATATTTTAAGAAGAGATCTGAAGGATTTTGTGAGAAGAAAGAAAAAAATGAAAGAAAAACCAATTTTAGGACATTATTTGAAGGCAGATTAAAATTATTAAAATTAAAAGGAAAGACTATAAAGCGGGTTTATTTCATCAAGGTTAAAATAGATATGGTGTTATTTCTGGTAACTCTTAATGGGACTTTTGCTGACCAAGACTGAATGATGAGATTTTAAAAATCAGTTTTAGATAAGAGATGAAATAAGGAATGAAGAGATAGATTGTTATATTTTTAATAGAAGGTGATAAATTGTTCAAATTGTTGTACTTGTGACAAAGGAGTCACTTCTTTAAATATTTATTTTCTTTTTCTTTGCTATATTGTTATTTTTTTAATTTTTCTTTCTATACTATTTTTTTTTTCCCTTAACTTTCTACTTTTTTTCTTTTATTTTTTGTAATTTGTATTTTTATCTATTCAACTACAATGTTTAATAAAAGCATTGTTAAAAAAAATCACAAATCACCCCCCAAAAAATTGGGGTCTTGGGAAAAGCTTAGAAATGAAAGATGCTCAGCATCAAATCAGTCTTTCACAGTTTTTAGCCTTAAAATAAATAAAAACACTACTTTGGTGTTAAAAGCTGTTGAAGGAGCTATAGATTGCCATCCATCTATTCAAGGTGCAAGAACATTTGGCTGGGCTGGGCATTAACAACTTGCCAAGTACCATTCTGGTGCTTTCAGTCTTAATCAGTTTTATTGCTGCTGCTACTACAAAGAAACCATATGAAATTCAGCCACATTTTCTAACAATGAAATAACACTTAGTTCCATTTCTCCGTTTGTATTCAGAGACACGTACATATATTGAATCAGGAGTTTCAAATACAAAGTCATTGATGAATTTACTATGATGTTGTTTTAAAGTGACTTTTTTGAATTTGAATATTTAATTTGATGAACTGCATTGAAAATGGTGTTACCACCAGAAATCAGTTAGTAGGCTGCAATTTCAGTGATGGGGTTGAAAGAATAATTTTACAATTTTGACTTATGCAGCTTAATTAATTGTCAATTTTCTCTTTTGAAAAAGTATGGAAGTAGATAAGTATGAAAAAAAAATCTACTTTATAAGCTACTTTACAACCATTTAAAGCTCTTTCGCTGTGAACAATCTTTTTAATATGAAAAAGCACTGAAAGCAGTTTTGAATATTCAGGAACTTATCCAGTTGATTTGATATCAACATTGCTTTATCTGGAAGAAGCTCAGTGATATATATGTATTTGGAAGTCTGAAGTTGAAATGAGACTTTGGAGAAAAGTATCAGTAGCACAGAGCTAGCATTTTGGGAGTGCTAAGACCTATCCCTGGTTGCCGGGATTTTTGCAGCCCAGATATTGTAACTCTATAGAGAAAACCTATGTTTGCAGAACTATATATATAAAAAACCTCAAATCTTAAATAAGGAAACAATTTGCAATACATGATACAAAATCTGCCATAAGCAGCATCCATGTCGAAAGTTGGTGGAGACATAAAAATTAGTGGGGTAGTATCTTGCTGAATTGTGGAATAAAATATTATTTTCAGTTAGAAGGGCAGATACAAGTTAAGATTTTGTTGCTTATCTATTTGGAATCCATGGAGAAAGTAAAGTACCTTTTTTGTATGCTAATAGAGAAGGAAATCAAATCCCCATGTAGTAAAATATATTAATTTATAAATTAAAATATAATAAACACAATTTCTCTTCAGTGGACTTAATTTGACTATAGAAGGAATTTCAGTTGAGTGAATAAATGGAGTAGTTATGTTGGATTGATGACCCATAATAAAGGGTTAGCTTGATTTTATTTGATATGAATGGAATGTGAGAGCGAAAGGCTTTCCTTTGGATATATAAATGGAGGTTTCAATATAGGGAAAAGGAAAAAGAACATTTTTCTTTTTAAAAAACAATCTGTCAACAGCCATTAAATAGTGATGAAACGTACAGGTTCTGATCTGAAGCAATGGAAAATAATATCTCAGGAAGGTGGAAAGGAAAAGGAAAGAAATCTCCTTTTTTCCTGCACTATTGAGGATTGAATAGGTTGTAAAAGCATCCTATTCAAAGTTGAAAAGGGTACTCACAGTACACATATTATTAAATGATGGGGAGCCACAAGGTTGCCTACTTATAATTTACTTGAACTTATGATATCAAAGGGTGGCTGTACAGATAAATTGTACAATTTCTTTCTGGCTTTTATTTGTCAGATTATTAAACTATTTGTTTTAAAATTCTTTTTTTAATATTAAGTGATATTCCATTAAATAGTTCATTTTAAAGACATATCTTTTTAAATGTATTCTTTAATTTTATGAATGGTTTAGATAGGATGAAATCTTCTGTTTTGGTATAATCAAAATAAGACTATTGTCTTTATTTTCTTTCTTTCTTTTTTTCTTTCCAATCACCAACATCTGTCATCTTTGCTCTGAGCAAAATGGATGGGGAAGTAACACGAAAGATTATTCTTCTTTGATTACCCAATTTGTCTTAATTACAAGGTTCTCAAACATGTGCAGCTAAATAAATGAGCAGGAAAACATTTAGGCAATAGTATTAAAAGCAGCTGAAGCTGCCTCAGCTGTGAACTTGACTGACTTCTGTGTATTTTAATAAAGATTCAGGATGGAGTTCACACATAGGTGGTTGAGGAAATGAGACACTTGTGTGCCAATCATTCTGAAATGGCAGTTTAAATCTGTAATACTACAGTACTTGTGTGACATGTACTAAAACATTTTGAGAAGGTCACTATGAAGCAAGCAGCCAGCTGTTGGGTTTATCATAGATAAACTCCTACAAAGTGCAGCAGCATTTAATACACCAGTGGAGCATGAAAAAACTGTGCAAATTAAATTGAGAAGCAGCTGTGGTTGAAGATGTGTATCTTTATATTGAACTCCTCGGGGTGCAATAGTGAGGTTGCATTAAAACATTCTATCAAAAATTTCCAGCCAAACCCTTGCCTTTTAAACTAAAATAATTGAAGATAATGTGAAGGTGGCCTATTATTTCCCTTTATTTTCCAACAACTGGTTTTCCTTTGTAATACTTCAGAAATGATTTTAGAAAATTAAAAGTCCTCATGCTCTTCATAAAATATCTATTTAATAAATTAACATTTTGTTTTTGCATAAATATTTTCTAATAAAGGATTGCTCTATATTTCCACATTTTTTTACTTTTTCTCATGGAAAACACATACAAAAATATGGCAAGTTGCCACATGGCAAAAATAGTTGGGGATGTAAGAAATTTTGTGTACATTGAAATTATTTTCAATTCTGCTTAGAACATATAAAAATCTGATTTAAAATATTCACAAACTTGCATAAGTATCCTTGTATAAAATTGTTTCATGATTTTACAATATCTATTTTTTAGATGCTGCTAACAGATCACACTTCTTAGACACAAAGGATAATCTTCTTGATGGGTTGCAGTCCTTGGACAAATGTTAACAAGAAAAAGCAAAACAATGCAGATGAAGCCTCTGGAATTGTACAGACATTAGAACAAGCCTAAAATTCTGCTGATCGCATAGTGTAGACCAGGAGTGTCGAACTGCTGGCCCGCGGCCTGGACGCGTCATGTGGAAGCTGCGCCCACTCCATTGCCGGCAATGGCAAAACTGGCCCGATACATTGCGCGACGTCACGTGACATCACGAGTTTGACATGCCTGGTGTAGACAGTTGAGAAAAGAATACATTTTAACTTGCAAATAGCCAAGTTACAGTGAATTTAGTTTTAAGATTGCATCAGAAATATTTATTTTCAAGCTTGAAGAGCCCAATCAAATAAACATGATATAGCAAAAAAGTTAGAAAATTGTGGTATAAATTTCAATAACTTGATTGTGTCCTTGTGCTTTTAATGTTCATCTGAAGTCATAAGGTCTCACGTTTAATGGTGGCTTCTAAGCAGTGAGAACCCAGTCAGAATGGTTATATTTTACAATTGCCAGTACAGATTATCACAATGGAATCTTCATAGAGCTGTTCTGAAAAACAATTTGGAAGTTGCAACTTAGGGAAGTGTTAAAGATATTCAGTATTTGAGGGAGTGACTTTTCTGGTATACACTTGCCCTAGGATTATGGTTTGTCAAGAAGATTGTCCTTTGCATCTCAACAGTGTAATCTGTACATAGTAAAGAAATGGAACATAGAGCCTTCTTGGCTGAGATGATCTTCTTTTAGAGATACAACAGCAATGCCACTGATTATTTACTTAAGCCATTATTTGTATTGATTATATGTTAATTATATTTTGCTTATTAGATTATTAGTGTGTTTCTATATTTCTAATGCATGGATGAATTGCAAGTTATTTTCTTTTGTGCTAAGTTCTATTCTTGTAGGATGGGAGAAATATTTTACTTAATAAATACAAATTGATCAGTGAATTCTTTTCTGCACATATTCCAATTATCTCTATAGTAGCTTGCAATATAGAGTGTTCAAAGGCATGCAGAAAATATAATAACTTTTTATTTTAATTTCAGAAATTCAAGAAGGGTATGTAAAATGTTAGCTTCAACTTCATTAATTGTAATTTAAAACATATTCTTGTGTTATACTTCAGATTTGTAGAAGATACAATTATCAATTGGATCAATGCAACATTTTATTTTCTATCATTTATTGTTCAGATGTAAAGATATCTCAATATTTTTATATATAGGGGGCAATTGTCTATCCTGTTACTTTTTTTCTGTTGAAAACAAATATAGCAAAATGCACAATATCCTTTTTTTTAATAGATGGGTCCATATTGTTTGTGCACTTTATGTTCCCGGAGTGGCATTTGGAGATATTGACAAATTGCGACCAGTAACACTTACAGAAATGAACTATTCCAAGTATGGTGCAAAGGTAACATCAAAAGAGTTGTATTTTACTAACATGTAGATTGCTATTATGTTTTTTTTTTTGTTTGCTTCTATTCATTGCAACTAAGTATTCAAAGTGTATTGTAGATTAATATAATTATTATTTTTCTATTATTATGAACTATCTTTATGGAGATAAGAAACAATGTAATGATTGTTCATTGTTATTGCTGATCTTGTATATGTTATTTCATATGGATTTTGACCCCATTGTTACCATCACCACAAGGAGTGTCATCTGAGGCATGGCACCATGGTCAGCCATCACAGTGCAAAGCCCCAGCTACCCATGTGCTCTATAGGTGTTGCTCCCTCTAGATGACCTTTGCTGTCTTCCTCCCATTGCTCAGAAAGAATGCCTGGCTTGGCCCTCTGTAAGACAGCTTCTGGCTAGACATTCTTCCTCAGGCTGCTCATGTCTTTCTCCAATTCACATGCGCTGCTCTCGTGTTTTGGAAGGCTTTAGAGGCTTTTGCATAAAGTCAGACTGGGTGCACCTTGTCAGCAGCAGAATGAAGACAAGTAAAGGCAGCAGGGTGGTTGGGGCTTTGCTCTGTGCACTAGAGTGGCTTGCAGCAGGTTTGAGGTTCACTCCTTGGCAGCAGCAGAGCTTGGGCTGAAGTAGAAGCCCAGTGGCTGTGGCATCTGGCTGAGACCGCTGAAGATCTTAGACCTGTTTTTTGGCCCCAGTGCTGCCTCTACTCCAAGGAATGTCATTGTGCAGGATGTAATGGTATGTTGAAATAACTCAAGAGACCGGGAGGCAGAAGGAAAGATGCTGCCTAAGGACCAATCAATAAGGGAAGACATAGCCTGCAACTGCATAATAGAAAAATAAAGAGACTCAGGAAGAATCCTTCCTAACTTCTCAATCTGTAAAAGAGACAGAAGAGATGCACACTATTGTATTTGCAAGATTCTGTTATAATAAATTAGAATTAGCTCATCTGGTCATATTTCCTGTCTGGTCTACCTGGGAAGGCTGACAAGGTGGCTAAAGTAGCAGATATGGACAGAGAGATAGTTGGGTGAGAGACTTAAAGAGGAGACAGTCCATCACCTGACCAAGGCTCAGGGCTGGGAGGGACCTAGCTGGGAAAGACTTGGATCAAGATGAGTCTTTGCCTAATGACTGGTGGGATTTTATTAACAATGCAAGTTGGGATTGCCATGATTGTGTTTCTAAACAATGAAGTCATGTGACATTGCACTTTACAACTGTATTACTTAGCAAAGGAAATTCCGGTCCCAATTACCGTGATTAAACAACTATCTATAGTTAATACTTGATGTCTGTTTTTCTAGTATTTATTCCATTGCTTTCTCTTCACTGATCTGCGGCAGGAATGTAGCTTCTGTGAAGATCCTCGTTTTGCCAGAACTGGTGTTTGCATTAGCTGTGATGCTGGAATGTGTAGAGCTTATTTCCATGTGACCTGTGCTCAGAAAGAAGGCCTATTGTCAGAAGCTGCCGCAGAGGAAGTAAGTAAACTTGAGTATTCTAATGATTCAATCTGAGGTGAGATATTTTACCATTAAAAATTCAAATAAACATATTAAAATATCATACATAACAGCATTTATATTTTGTTATACTGAAGCCATCCTTAGATTTAAGTGCAAGTAGTTGATGAAAAAATATTTAGCATATTTATTTAGCATAGCATACTTTATTTTAAAGTTGATTGGGTTTTTTTCCTTACATCATAATTAACAGGCATTGTCTGCCTTCCTCTTTTCCTTCTGTTTTCTTTGGAGAGATGGTTGTTTTTGATAGAAAGATTTTCTCCTGCAACTGTTTTATACTAAAAATGTGTAAATAGGTTGATTATGACCTTCAGCTCTTATTACAGTTGAGTGCTTCTCTAATCAAATAACACAGTGTTCAGATGCCCCATGCCATCCATTATTTTTGTCTGATATTTTGTCAGATAATAATCTATCATAATCACATTGGTGTATTATATCTGTTTAAAACTAAAAAGCTGCTTTTGGTTGCAAAATATTTATTATCAATTGTGTTATTCATGTACTGATAGAAAAAATATACTTGTTTATGTGTACATAAAATCAATAATTCTATAAGCCTATAGTTTTTCAGAAGTTGATGAGGTTTTTAAATTTGACTTGCCTTCATTAAAAAAATGAACAACATGAGTTGTGAATGAAGGGAAATATACGTGTAGAAATAGAGATTTATTCTTCCTAGCCTTTGGATTCATGCTAGAGCCCATCCTCGGGGAACTTATCACTCTCCAGAATGTGTGCACTGTTCTGATCTGCACTGTGCATTTAATTTCACAGCCAGTAAGATTGTTGGTCAAGCAGGGACAAAAATAGCCAAAAGACAAAAATAGAAATGATTGAAGCTGGTGGCCAGATTGAAGCCCCTTCTCAGTCAACAGGAATGCTGATTTACCACCAACTTACCAGGTACTTAGAAGCCGAAGGCATGGCAGAACAAAGAAACAACAATCAATGGCTTAATAGCCTGACACCCCATTTAATAATTAAAATAATTATTAATAACTAATAATTAAAAGCCACACACAATCAGGCACCACATAAAAACTAGAATAAAAAGCCCAGTGCACACATTTTGGAGAGTGAGATGTTTCTTGAGAATGGGTTCCAGCATGAGTTCAAAAGTTGGAAGAATAAACCTCTAGTTCCGGTGATTTACTCAGATTGGATCCTGCAGCATGAGTTGTTCATGCCATAATTGAATAAAACTGCTTTAGAAACTTTAATGTTTTTTTCTGGATTATGAGATCCTGCACTCAGTCACTCATGCTCTGGTAATTTCCCTCTTGGATTATTACAACTCTCTCTACATGGGGCTACTCTTGAAGAGTGTTCGGAAGCTACAATTGGTCCAGAATGCAGCAGGATGGACCATTTTGGACGCTCTCTCGAGTAGCATATGTAACACCACTGTTACATGAGCCGCACTGTCTGCAATCTGTTTCCAATTCAAGATGATGGTTATTACCTTTAAAGCCCCTATAGCAAGGGTCCAGGATATATGTAGAACCATTTTTCCTCAAGGGAATCAGCCTGCCCGCTTGTGCTGGCAGAAAGAACTTATTGTGAATGCTATCAGCGAAGGAATTCCAGAACTCCTTGACAGAAATCTGTCCAGAATGCCTGGACAGAAATCCAGGCATTTCTGTCATGATTCACCTCCTTTGGAACATCTTGCCACAAAAGGTAAGATCTGCCCCCTCTGTTTTAAGCTTCAGGAAGAGCCTTAAAACCTGGGTATGCCAACTAGCATGCGGTCCTGAAGGAAAAGTTGTTGAGTGAAGGTGGTTGGTGCAGAGAAGGCACCTCCACCTGTCCCTCTGAACATATCTTTATTAGTCAGTTTTAATATAATTTTAAATCTGTTGTCATATTCTCTTATTGTAAGCCACTCAGAGTGACTTCAAACTCTGAAATAACTGTAAAATAAATTTGATAAAAAATGTTCTTCATTTTTGTTTCATTGCTTTAGGATATTGCAGATCCTTTTTTTGCTTACTGTAAACAACATGCAGACAGAATGGATAGAAAATGGAAGCGTAAGAACTATTTGGCTTTACAGTCCTACTGTAAAATGTCTTTGCAAGAAAAACAACTTTCACCTGAAGCTCAGGTATTATTATAGTTTGTTTGGTTCAAGTTTCTGAATAATAATGATACAGAAAAATTAAATGAAGCAAGCATTTCTGGAAACACTGATTCTCAAATATTTTGTTTACCTGTTTGCAAACAGTGTAACATTTTTCTCTTGACTTAAATTAACATCCTCTCAGATACTTCAGTTTCCATGAATCCACATCTTTATCCTATTTAAGTTGATATAATGGAGACCATGATATGATGAAATTAACTAATGAAATCATAACATTTAAGATTATATTTAAAAGATGAAATAGAAAAGAACTCCCAAGAAATGGATTAAAATAGATAAATAAGTGATTTACATTGGCACATGTACTCTAATTTTGCAAATATGCAGATAATATCTGCATGATTGATGAGAGATCCATCTTGTGGTTATGCAGGTAGCCATTGACTTATGACTGTTTGTTAAGTGGTCGTTTGAAGTTACAACACTGAAAAATGTGACTTATGACTGGTTCTTGCATTTTTGCCTGCCACAGTTTCCCCATGGTCATGTGATCAAAATTAGGGTCCTTGGCAACTGGCTTACATTTATGACAGTTGAAGCATCCCAAGACCATTTGATCACTATTTGCAACCTTCCCAGTTGGCTTCTCACAAAGTCAGTGGGAAAGACAGCAGGGAAAGTCACAAGTTGCAGTGATGTGATATCTTGCTTAATGAATAAACTACTTAGTTTGATAAAAAAATATGGCTTAAGTCAAGGACTATATCTAATGGTTAGCTTGATTAGGCTGATGCATGGGCTAATTGATGCTATCAGTTTGAATGCAATAAAAATAACTTGGAGATTAGAAGATTTATCTATGGCAACCGATCCTGATGATTATATTTTATTTTCAAAATCAGAAGCAATATTCCTCTGAAAAGTGGTTGCTGGGTAAAAAACATATAGAGGAAAATCAGTACTTTCATATTCTGCTGGTGAATTTCCTTTATGGATCAAATTGACTAGCAGAACTCTTCTTGTGTGCCATGAGTTGGAAAATTCCAAATTGCTTTTGAAGAAAAACAGATTATGAAGAAAATAGATGCCATTATCAGACTTTTTAAGTTTCTGGATTGCATGATGGGATAGCATGCTCTTGAATAATACAGGGTCACTGTATACACAGTAGAGTCCATAATAGACTCTTTTGATAATTCGTTTTGCTTGTATTAAGTGCAGTTTGTCTTTGCTACAATATAAATGTAAAGCTTTTAAAATGAGATGAAGTTCTTTCTTTCCCTTGATTTTGTATGCTATAATGTTTATTTTTGTGACATAGGCTCGGATTAATGCCAGACTTCAGCAATACCGGGCTAAAGCAGAATTAGCACGCACCACAAGACCACAGGCATGGGTTCCAAGAGAAAAACTGCCACGGCCACTCACTAGCAGTGCTTCAGCAATACGTAAGCTTATGCGTAAAGCTGAATTAATGGGCATTAGTACAGACATCTTTCCTGTTGATACTTCAGATACCAGTTCCAGTGTGGATGGAAGACGAAAGCATAAACAGCCAGCATTGACTGCTGATTTTGTGAATTATTATCTTGGTAAGTCTGAAATAGTCAAATTCAATTTTTGAAGTTAGTTTTTGCTTCAGATAGTTCTTGATAGAGGGGTGAAGCAGATTGCAATGGGAGGACTAATAAGCAATGTCTTCTGTTGCAGTTCACTTAGTCTTGTTTTGTCTTCAGAAAATACTAGATTTCTCTATGACTCCTATGTCTCTGAAGCAACCAAGAAAAAACTGAACTTTGAATGGAAGAACTATCTTTTCCCTTCCCTTTCCCCTTTTTAATATGCTTCAAATAGAGGTCAAGAATTGAATTTTCTTTCTTTTGTGATTAGAGTGACTGAGACCTTTCAAATTTTATCTCCCCCCCCCTTCGCCAGCATGGTCATTTTAGCACTCAAGAGCAGCTTTTATCACTCTAGACTCCATTGTTAGATAGACAGTTGCATAATATGAATCTGCCATGGTTCAAAGTGGGCTTCAGTTCAGATCCATGATTTTACGTTTCTAAATATATGGTATCCCCTAAAAAGGAAGTGAAACTTAAAATGGAACTGAATGAATGGTAGTTGTGACTATTCCTTGTACTTAGAGTCATTGCAGCTTCCAATGGTCACATGATCATAACTTGTGACCTTCCGTGTCAGGTTCCAGCAAGCAAAATCAATGGGGAAATCCAACAAGATGTCAAAGGTCATGGTAATATGAAGTCATCACTTAATGACCTACATGGTCCTCACTTAACAATAGCAAGGGACTATTAGAACTAGTGTCACCAATGGCAAGATTAGTTGGTTTTTCAGTATGACTGCATTGGTTAATGATGGAGTTCCATGAAAATGGAACAAGCATTTTTAAAATACTTTAAAATATGTTTACAATTTAGAAATTCTTTAGGTTCTTTTCATTTGTGCATTTTCTCTCCAACTATGCTACTTGTTCTGAATTCTCTAACTGTATGCTTATTGCTACAGGTATTTTTTATAACAGAGAGATTTCTACTCTTGGAAAGTATATAAAATATATATTATCACTGCTTTGCTGTCAGATCAAGTTTACTCGAATTTTGTTTCAAATACTTCAGTATATTCATATAAGAATGATGTTGTCATTGAATTGTCTTATGTTTTATACTAAATAAAAACTGCATATTAGCATAGCTATATTCTTTTGTTTTGATTTAAGGATACAGTGAGAGATTCAGTTATTTGAGTCTAACTACAATCTCTTATTTCATACATAAGTAAGGTGTTGACTTTTATTTTAGAGAGGAACATGCGCATGATTCAGATTCAGGAGAATATGGCAGAACAGAAGACAATTAAGGATAAGCTGGAGAATGAACAAGAAAAACTTCATATAGAATACAACAAGGTAAGAAATAGTCTTAAAGCCATGTAAAATTTATATGATGTAGTTAATTAATTCTTAAAACATAACAGAAATTAAATTCAGCACTCTTTGACTCATTGAATACACACACATATACATACACAAATCTGAAGTTAAGCTCAATGTTTCAGTGGTCTTCATTCACAACTCAGTAACTTATTGAAAAACATTTCTCGGATTCTTGTACTTATCTTCGATTATTTTTAATGACTGAAACTGAAATCAGTCATTGGGACAAGGTACTATCAAAGAACACAAGGTAATTTTAGGAGCATTTTTATTTCTTATTTGTAACTACAAGACTACAGTAGAGTCCAGGACCCACAGAGACAGTGCTGTCTGTCAAACTCTTTGTTGGCAGAGGCAACTACCCATGCTTCAAGAGAACAGTAGTGACTCAGCAGTTTAGAAGACATACATTTGCATTATAATCTCCAAGTCTCTGCTGCATTCTTGAAAGTATGTAATATAAAATTTAAATAAGTAATTATTTAAGATTGCTTAAATATACCACAATGTAAAAAAGATATTAAGACTCTAGAAAGAGTACAGAGAAGAGCAACAAAGAGGATTAGGAGACTGGATGCTAAAACATATAAGGAAGGATTGCTGGAATTGGGTACGTCTAGTTTAATGAAGAGAAAGACGAGGGGGGACATGATACCAGTGTTACAATATCTCAGGGGCTGCCACAGAGAAGAGGAAGTCAAGCTATTCTCCAAAGCACCTGAAGGCAGGACAAGAAGCAATGAAAGGAAATTAACCAAAGAGAGAAGCAACTTGGAACTAAAGAGAAATTTTCTGACAGTTAGAACAATTAATCAGTGGAACAACCTGCCTCCAGAAGCTGTGAATGCTCCAACACTGGAAGTTTTTAAGAAGAGATTGGACAGCCATTTATCTTTGACTAGGGGGTTGTACTAGATGACCTCCAAGGTTTATTATTATTATTATTATTATTATTATTATTATTATTATTATTATTATTATTATTACTACTACTACTACTACTACTACTATTACTATTACGATGATGATGATGATGATGATGATGTTCAAATATAGAATTTAGCCATTATAGATAAGATTACTATTTACTCTGGCTTTTAACATGCCCATGCCCTATTTGTTAGAATTATCTAAAAGTAAGGAATAGTCATGAGAGGAAAATGTCATTTCAAGTTAAACCTAAAGGACTTAATGTGATTTTATATTTTCTTACCTTAAGCGTACAGATTCGTTGTACTGAAGTTTTCATTTCCAGTATAGAAATACTTGGCATTTTGTTACAAATGGAAATAACAGAGTGCAACTGTTGTGATGTTTCTTACTGCCATTATAATTTTATTATCAGATAAAAATATTTATGTTTTTTTTTTTACTAAGCAGATGGATGCCCGTGTTTTCTTTCTGGAGTTATGAATGGTTGATTAACTTTACTGCTTTCACTAGCATTGACACGAAAAACCAATTTTATTATTTAAATATTTATGTTAGAAAAGGTATTGTAAGTAAAGAATGCCTCCTCCTGGAGAAGAAATGCTAAATAATTTCTGCATTTTATGTGATTTTATTTTTTAGTTGTGTGAATCTTTAGAAGACCTTCAAAATATGAATTCAAAGCTGCGAAATGAAGGGCAGGGAATGTGGGCTCTCCTAGGAAGAATTATTGGACAGGTTGGTCTCTCCACTCTTTTCCCCCTTTTTTATGCTTTTTAGATCACATGATACATAAGAATATGCTTTTCTCTTTCTTACTGCCACTGTTGGTGGGTGGAAAGATACATTTGATAAAGTCCTGGCCTTTCTCCTGGAGGTAATGATTTCTGATTGAAATATATCTCGGGCTCCACAAGGTACTTACTAGGAACCTATACTTTAATTTTGTTTTTGTTTTAGCTATCTTGTTTGCAAAATTCTTTCATTTGCTATAACTGATTGACCTGTCATTTGTGATGAAGCTAAACCTGAAGCATGAGTTAATCTAACCGCTCTCGCTGTCTTTTGTTTTTGTTTTTGACTCATAGCAATTGAAGCTTCCAGACAAGCAGTTTTTGTTGGAGTAGATTGTTTTCTAGAGCTTCTTTTTGTGAATATACTACACAAATAATATTTTTAAATTATATATAAAGATTCCTTTTCTTTTTAAGGAAACAGTATTCTAAAGCACAGGTGGCTTTGTATAATAGCAATAGCTGATTATCTTACCCCATCATTTTTAAATTCACTGTTATAAGACATTTTTTAACTAAATGGTTTCAATATTTAATTTTATTATATGTTTAGCTACATTTAAGGATGCAAGGAACCTTTTTTCACAGTTATCTACCTATTCTCCTTCTCATTTCCACTTTTTTATTTCTAAATGATAGAATTTATATTTCTATATTTAATTGGCTCCATTTACAAACACTAATTTCTGTGGTTTACTGTTTAGTACTTCTCATCTTAGCATTCATAAAATTAAAAATATTGAATGAGTTAATATAGAGTTCTCAAGAAAGTAGATACAAATACAATTGTGTGGTTTTCAACATGAAAAGGTCTTGGTTTTTTTAATTATGTAGGTCATTATTAATGTTATTTTTTTATAAAATAAAGTGATGTCTTAAAAAAATTAGACCATTGGCCAGGAATAGTATTATAAATAGCCTAAGGATTTAACAGTGTACCCTTATATAGATTTGCTAAGCTGGCTGGTATATTTACTCTAATATGGTTTACTGGAAATCTATTACCATAAGTGTAAGTTTCTTAATAAGAAATTTTGCCACTTTTAAAAAAAATAAAATTTACAAATGTGTTTCCTAATGCAATGATTTAATAATGATAATAAAAAGTAGTAGTTTCATTTGCATAGTTTGCATGACACCTTTTTCCAGTTGGTTGAACAGATGCAGCCCCTTGGGGCCCCTTAGAAATGACTTTGATAGATGGTTGCTGTCTGTGAAGCTAGCATACTGCAGATTAGTAGAAACCCGAAGAGAATCTCTGCTGCTTTGTGGAGAATTTGGTCCAATAAGATAATTTTTCTAATTAACCTATGGAGCACCACTGTAGCAGAGATGCTGAAGAAAATAAACTGTTTCAGTATTATTTTGTGAAGTGTAGTAGATTTTTCTTTTTTCTTTTTCCTTTTAACCTTCTAAACCAGCTTGTCCTTGCCTATTTCTTTTAAAGCTTTCTCCGTTAAAGGGGGGAAAAGTTAAAAAGGCAAAGCTTTAATGTATCTGGCTTCTTTTTTCTATTGCATTGAGAAATATGTGAATGCAGTTTCAATTCTAAGAAGAAATTTGGAGACAGAAAATATGACATAGTCACATTTGTGACTTGACAGTTTTTCACACATCTCTTCCGGTCAACTGCTGACTGGGAAATACACGGATATGTTCATTATATATTTGTCTTACCAATATTCCTATATTTCCTCAAACCCCACAGAAACTAAATATACCAGCAATTTTGCGAGCACCCAAGGAGAGAAAGCCCAGTAAAAAGGAAGGTGGAACTCATAAGACTACAACCCTTCCAGCAGTACTTTATAGGCAAGTAGCAGCAATACTCTCTTGTGCTCATTAGAAGAGCAAACTGCATAATTGCACAATCGTAAATTAGAGGTTGGAAAAAGAAAATCTTTTCTGTTCTCTCCCCATTTACTTCTTTGCTAACAATCTGGTTGATTAAGGGACTTATAAAATAAAAGAATTACAGATATTAGTGCCTTGGGTTAATAATTCATCTCAGGCCAATATGGCCAATATTGCTTTTAACAAATTTCAATTTCAGTCAACTGAATATATTTTTTTTCTTCCATTGCTTTCCATTTCTAGATGCTACAGTTTGCTATATAACTTGACTGTTTGTTTTTGTTTTTTTATTTATAGTTAAAGCTTGGCTATAAACTACTGATAGACTTCATTTTGAAAGAAAATGTATTTCATACCTGAATTATTCAAATCCATTTTTATTAAAATTTTCAGAACAAACTACCATAGAAAAGACTGTACAGAATAGCTGTGCGCTTTAAATCTAATCTCCCTTTTACATAGATATATTAAAAATTATTAACCTAGATATTTATTGTTACACATATATAATTCATTTTATTATCTGGTTCCCTAATTAATATTTAAGTGACAATCCTTAGGGAAGCCCAAGACTGAAGATGAGAAATGGAAGAAAGCAATATTTCTATATTGTTACTAAGAAAATGATGTAAAAGCCACTATGAGTTAAGTTTTACATAAAGAATTTATTTTATATATATAATTATCAATATAAGAAAAAGTTCAACACTTACAAGCAAGTATTAGAAACATAATACATGTCTTTGTTTTATATTTTCCTCTCCACAAACTGGGGTCTATCAGTAGTTTGCTTGATATTTTCAGAAAGTAGTCACCATCTGCTCCTGGCTGTTTTCAACATTTTATAATAAAACAATTTAACTCCTAAATATCTAAATAGCTAATTTTATGGCTAATAGCTATTAATATAGTTGTCCTCCTAAATTATGTATTTATTCATGTACTCACTCATTGACTTATTTTATTAGAAATGTATCTCAGTGAATCTATATTGATTCACTTATTTCCTGGCAATATGACTAAAATTAAAAACAAAAAAGTTAGCTTGGATTTGAAATTAGTCTTATATTTTTAAAATTTCAAGAATTTCAAGCTAGTAACTAACCTTTAAAATGCCCTGGTAAATAAGAATATTTAATTATCTGCTTAAGATCTTCTGCTTATGCATAAGGATCTCTGGATTCTACCCCATATTAATTTTGAGACAGCTTAGCAAAGTATTTGCATTTTCTCAAATGAAACCTTTTCCTGCATTTCCAAGTTGTGGGATTTGCAAGAAGAACCATGATCAGCACCTCCTTTTGCTGTGTGATACTTGTAAACTCCATTATCACCTTGGATGTCTGGACCCTCCACTTTCAAGGATGCCAAGGAAGACTAAAAACAGTTACTGGTAAGAATATTATAAATATATCCTCCTATTTCCTTTGGGATTAAGAAATAAGATCATGAACCTACTATATAGGAATCTGAAGTTTTTTCATGCAAAGTTTTTAATTTAGATCTTACTGGAGAGTTTTTCAAATGTTCTTACATGCTTTTTATTCCCGTAGCGGTGCTGATGCTTGAAATTTTACAAAACAGAGGTCCCTTCTTTTATAACTTTATTGTGGTCTAGGAAGGTTTAAAAAAAAAAAATTATGCCGAACTAACTAACAAGTCACTGATTTCTTTTCCTAGAAGTTAACTTTTATAACTTTTTAAATAATGAGGTTTATTGAAGTTTACAGATACAAAAATAAAAAACAAACTAAGAATATTGATAAAATCAATACAAAAAATATAAAAAGAAAAAAGTGCAGAGAAAATAAATAAAAGTAATAAAGATATATAAAGAAATGATTTTTTCCTTCATCAAAACAAGTACAAACAATTTAAATAACTTATTTTTTTTACTTTCATGTAAGTATAGGAAGACAAAATCACCTCATATCTCATCTCTTATTTATAAACATATATACATTATGTATGATCTCAGTATTGATAAAGATGTGTTACATGAGGATTGGCCCCTACTGCCCTATCAAAAGTTTCCATTTCTGATTTTTACTACAGAGGGAAAATATTAAAAATAGTTATAATAAATAGTTATAATAAATTATTTGGTAATAGATCTACTTACATTTTGGAGTAAGAAGACTAGCATACCAAGTGCAGCTCTCAAACCAGAGAGCTGAGCAGAGAACAGAGTTATTTTATAATGGTGACGATGACAACTTCCATTTTAAGTATTTAATAATGCATATTTTTCAGCAACTGCTTTCGTTAGTGTTGTTGTTACCTATCACTGAAAAACTATAGGAGAGGTCAAAGTAACAAAACAAACAAGATAACTCTGTGTTTAGTATTCAACCAGCCAACTGGCTTTTTGAGGCCTTAGTTGTAATTTTTAAAAAGAACAGTGTTAAATCCACATATGTTTAACAGTATTTTGATACTAATTTTTATTGACCTGGCTTTTGTTCTTATGTTCTGGCTAGTCTGTTTCAGAAGAAATTTTGGCTTAAAACAGCACCAGCCTTCTTGCTGTATTTTAGCAGATGGCAGTGTTTGAAGGGTGAGTCTGCATTGCAGTCTCCTGATATTACGGAAAACTCCAGCAGGCCACTTATTGGTGTGATATTGTTATCAGATGCCCCAGTGATGATTATATATTTCTGTCTTTATTTTCTTTCTTTGGGGATTTTGTGGATAGCAACAGAAAATATTTAGGAGACAAACCCTGAAAAATAGGGTGAAGTGGTAGAGGGTTGTATAAAGTTCCAGAAGTGTTTTCCATTTTAAAGTTATTCATCTTTTAATGCAGAGATTATAAATAAGAACCACAGACTTGAAGATCATACTCATTTAAACTAACTCCATTAATTTCACTGTATTTTTTTTGCTATGATTGAATTTTTAAGACTCCAACCTATATTATTGGGATAGTAATATAAAAATTAGTAATAAATAAATAAATAGATACCTGATCAATACCATATTGAATTATTTTTAATATATTGTGGGATTGAATGAATACAAAGGGAATTACTGTATGTCATCTAGAATTTTTTTAAATGTTTTGGTTCAGGCATAATGAATACTGAAGTTAATTTTCAGTGACCAGATTAAATTGAAAAGTAATTCACTGATTTTATTCTGCCTTTTAGTCATACTGAAAGATTATTTTAAAAGCCATACTATCAAGAAGAAATAAACTAACATCCCAGTGGTAAAAAGTCAAAGAGATAGAAAGCTTTTATTTCCAAAAGTCTATGTAGTTGCCACAATTTCATGCTTCAGCTACATTTGTGATCACAAGCTTGGCTTTCACTTTTAATTTAACTAAGGTATATTCAGTGTGATGGGATTATAACAGAGAAATTGAGACTTATTGATTGCATCTGTTTCATCTTTAAATGTGTCTTTGTCAATTCTTTTCAAAATCATAAGAAATAGTATAGAAAGTTCTGTTGAAGTTTGCATTAGAAATGTGAAGTTCCATAAAACAATATCCCTGCTACTTACGATGGTTACAATGTTTCTATTTCATATGTCTTTCATTTACTCCTAGAGGTTCATATTGCCGTGAGAAAGAAGAAAAAAAAAATACATACATTCTGATTTATTTTATTTTTTATTGCTGGAATTGTATTAAAGTGTACAATAATAGTACTTATATTGGAAGGCCTATTTATTATCTGTTGTAAAACATTTACTTTGGAAAGGTAATGGTTTTCTAATGGATTTTTTCTAGAATACTTTTCCAGCTCAAAGAACTATCGAGATTATGCATAGGAAAGATATAGCCAGCAACTCCCATAAATGTGGATTTCAAATGACAGAATTTTTCAGCCTGCATTCATTGCCAGTCACGTCTTGATATTGAAGTCCATCAATCCATGTTGAGAATCTAGCTTACTTTACCTGTTCAGAAACTAAACTTAGTTAAACTTGACTAGTGTTTGGGTGGGATACTGCTAGGGAACACTAATGAGATAGGGTAGACTGGAAGGTTAAAAAACATCTTGAAAGAAGAAAATAGCAAACTACTTTAATGTTGCTGCCAAGAAAACTGCATGAATATGTTCATGAAGCCACCAAAATTTGAATTTAATCCTGAAAGGACTTTATCTTATATATTATAAGACAGTTGATGTGAAATTACTTGTTACAAAAGTGATGAATATTAGTTGCATTTGTGTCTCTGCTTTAGGTTTTTCCTTTGGGCTTTTAAAACACTTAATATAGAAAAAAAAATATAGGCATTCTATTGAGAGTTTCTCCTATGATTCTATATTTTTTTAAAAATTAAATAGTACATTAAAATAGAGATTCTATCTAAACAAAGACTTTTGTATGGACAGCCATCTTAATGTCAGAAACTGTTAGCTTTATAGCTAGGGTTGTACTATAAAGAAATATCTTCCAACTAATAACATCCAGATAATTAATTTTATGTAAGTACACAAGAAATGTTTATGTTAACTTTCTATTAATTGATATCTCTCAGCTTTCTTTTAGGAGACTCTAGATTTATAGTAAACTTCCTCTCCTCCTATTGTAAAATGTGTGTTTTACATTTGGGATTCTTGCCATCTTTACTTTGAAGTGATTAATTGACATCCCAAAGACACCCAAGATGATTCGGCTCATCTTTCTCCAAGAGATCAAATTCATTGTGGGAGATATTATTTGTAAAGAAGAAGTTGTAGTAATAAAAAAGAGATCATATACTATATCTTCTAATAAAGAAAGCCTGATGGGGATGAAGCATTTGGCCCATGTTTTTTTTTCCACATGTACTACAATCTGTACATGTGAAAAACATACCACTGTTTCCTTTCCGTCTGTATGTAGTGTTCTTTGGCTTTCTAAACATAATCTTTAAAAAAACCTTTTTTCCCAATCTGTATGCTTTTGCTTTGGAAGCTGCTGAATTCAGTTTGAATTTCTATATATGTTGTCTTTCCAGGCAATGTTCAGAATGCGACCAAGCAGGTAGCAGTGACATGGAAGCAGACATTGCCATGGAAACTTTACCAGATGGAACTAAGCGATCAAGGAGGCAGATTAAGGAGCCAGTAAAATTTGTTCCACAGGATGTACCTCCAGAACCAAAGAAGATTCCTATCAGAAACACGGTAAATGACAGCTGAGGCAGAATACACATATATAAGCCTTTCTGTCTTAATGTAAAACTTATGTGCCAAGTATCTCACTATGAAAAATTTTAACTGCTTAAAAATAATAACTTATTTCTAGATTTTAGTATAAAATATGAAACATTTTGGGATCAGAAACTGGTTTAACCATGAAAAGTAAAATAAAATTTGATTTTTTCTTACATTTATTTCATATTATTATGTATTCTGCAGACTGTTTTCCTTTTTGAACATATAAGCATATTGGAATTTAAAACATTAAATAGACAAAAATAATCCCTATGAATTCATGCAGTAAGTAATAAATGATCTTTTTTATGCTTGAATGCGTAACTTTTCACCCTTTAAGTAGATAGATTTTGTTGTGACTGCTATAGAACAAGAATTTTCTCATTGTGCATTCTGAAATGTCATATATTCAAACTATACTACGTGAATATCTGTAATTCAAATATAGTGACAAGCTTTCAAGTCTCTTTTGCTGACAGAATATTTGTTTTTTAAGTTGACATAATTGAATCATTAGCGCTTATATACCTTGGCTAGTGAATGAAATCATTTCAGAATAGTGGATGTGTTTATGAGATGATTCTTCCTCACTTATTTACTAATATGAACATATTTTGCTTGATCTATGCGATTTGGGGAGCAAACAGTTGTCTTTCTGTGATGCTGAATTGCTTGATACTACACCATAACTGCAGATAAACAACATTTAATGATTGTACTTTTTTGTTATTTTAAATAAACTTTAAATGAAATATATTTAATAAATATATAAAACCAATATAGAAGGAATTTTTATATTTATCCAGTAAATTTGCATCAGAGCAACATATTTTATATGCTGTAACCTATTTTTAATGAGGTCTTGCTTTATTTCCTTGTCAAAGTTAGACAATAAACTCAAGTCACTTAAATCCCTCATTCTGGGATATTTCTGAGGTTTGCTGCCTTGACAAGATTAACTTTCTTTGTGTAGTCTGTGGCCTGCTGTGGGTGATTAAGTGCTTTTTTATAGAAAATGTTCTATGTATAATACTATCTTATATTGCCTTCATTAATGTATAGTAACATTTTGTATTACAGTTTAAAAATAGGGAATATTGTTCAAGAAATAAGCACTTTGTATTTTATTTTTCCTGGCTTCTGTTTAAAAACTCAAAGAATTAATTTTGCCCAGGTTTCATAATACATATTATCCCAAGAACTGTTATTGGTCTGAGGTACGGTTCAACTGCAGTTTGCCTAGAATTATTGCAATCTGGTTAATAAGTGTCTTGCCAGAATGCGAAATATAAAACCTTGTTTGGGTCCATACATTATTCATAGATCATATTATGTGTATTACTCCTGGTTACTGAATTACAGTACTGATTCTGCCATGTGCTACCAAATATATTAGCTTGAATTCAAGCCAAATATAACTTTCATTGGCATCCCTTTTATCTTCTAGACCTATATGTTCTAAAGAAGAACAGTTAAGGTATGGAGAATTTGCAAACAAAGACTTATTCTATGGATTGTATGGTCTAAGTGTTGCTTTATTATTGTGTTCCACTTTGATATACGTCTATTGTATAAAAATATGTAATAAGAGATGATGCTTGTGGATGAGATGTACAGACACATTAAAATTAGCTACGTTCACATATTATTTATACTTGGCTTTTTTTAACCATGGGTTACTAAGGCAAAACCAAACCAAAACCAGTTATAAAGTTTATTTTCCTTTAATTTGTAATTGCGTCTAGTTTCTTGTGGATTCATCAGAGGTCTGACATAATATATAAAACATAAAATCACAAGAACTCTCATAAAATCATCAAACAACTCTGATTTACATTTGTGCATATACTAAGGCACAATTACAATTAGGGTATCAACAAGAAATCATGGTTTCAGACTGGTTTATTATCCTAACCTATTTGCAGATCACATAAAATTGCAAATAAACAACTGTTTTATGGCTTTCTCACATGTATATATCCATCTCTCATTCACAGACATATTTCACTTCATGTTTACTTCTGTAGCAAAGGAAACTTTTCTCCCACCTAGCATTGGAGAAGGAAATAAAAATTCAAAGATAAGAAACAAATTATTTGTTTTCTCTACTGTGATTTCAAATAGAGCATTCTTTTTCTACTCCCATATAGAGGTCACTACAGATAGAACACAGATAAAGCGGAGAAAGGGTATGCAGCATATTGCTGCAGAGATTTAAAAGCATAGGTGTGATTTGTGGGTTGTCTGTATGAATGCATTCGTATTAATAGCATGACAGGAGATATAGTGTAGGAGAACTAATCCAAGATAAATTCTACAGATTTGTAGTTGCTTCTTGGTTTTGCATTTATAATGTCTTACATATATTTGAGAAAACTGTGGATGAGTACCTAAACTGAAACACTCAGTGATCCTACTCAAGATATTGAGGTCCAAGTTATCTTTTCCAATCCTTTTTCTGAGACCCATGCTTACAACATAAAAAAATATTAAACAAAATTATATATAATTTAGACATACAGAATTGCTCTGCAATGAATCACTTATTTTGCTCATTACTAAATAATGTTTTTGAATTATTTACATCTTTTAACAATAATTGCTTATGTCTGAAGAATTTGCCTAAATCTTGTATGTTTTATTAGATATTATATTTCATTTAAAGTTTATTTAAAATAGGAAAAAGTACAACCATTAAATTTTATCTGTAGTTATAGTATACTTCAATGACAGATATAATCACAGGTTCAGAAAAAATTAAAAGTTACCGTAAAATACTTTTTACAAAATTGGGTGTTCACTAATTTACAGATGGTTAAGGTTTTCATGATGTTTGAATTAATTACATCTGGCTTTAATTAAAAATAAATATAGAAGTACAGGTTCTGAAAGTATGGCTCTATGGCTAAAATGTAAATAGTGGGAAAAAATCAGGCAAATGTCTTTTAGCAAGATAAGTCATTTCCAATTGAATCATTGATATAAATTAGAAGTAAATAGGTACAACTACTATATATGTGTTATACAGACAAATATCTAACTGGCTATTGATGTGCATATGTCAAAAATAATTTGTACTGTACTTTGTATTACATGTACTTTGGAGTATATTCTTTAAAGCAGTTATCTTTTTTCAGATTTTGCATGAATACAGAAAGAAAGAAGTCACAATAAAGACATGCCTGCTTTAATAAAATGAATTGGTGTGGTCATATTTATGTGCATTCCAAAATATTTTTTCAAATCATTTTTTAAAGTATGCACAGACCTAATATTTAATTGGATTGTAGATATTTTCAGATTTTTTTTTAAAAAAAGTTGCTTTATAAAACACAGTTTTTAAAGAGTTGCAATCTGAGACTATATATTCATGTTTCTCTGTGCACTTTGAAGCACTTTTTGTGAGTCACATCTCTTACAAAGCGTCTCTCTCAAAGGAATTGAACATCTCTATTGAAATACTTTAGTTAGGAGAGTAAAACCTTTACCTGGGAAGAAGAAAGAATTGGTTGACTCTACTAGATTTCTTAGTAAATTATACAGTACTTTTCCAGATAGGTTGTAGGCATGACTTTGCAATTTTCTTTTTTCTGCTCAAAGAAAGATTTTATGAAGTGATTATTGGGGACTGTTATTCCACAATATTCATTTTTAAGTCATGTTTTTTTAAAATTTCTTCATGAAATTAAGAGGAGGGATTATTCAAAATTGAAAGTATAATGGCAGCCTAATATTATATTTCAAATAATAAACATTGGGTATTTTATAATAAATCATGCATCAAATTATAATTCTTAAAAAGTAACAATATAAACTCTGAAGAAAATATATTTTATTTATATGTAGCATATGCTAGTGCATCTTTGTATTTGAAAAGCAGATTAATGTTTTAGAATGTGGTCAATATTTTGAATATTCTCTATTAAATTTATACCTCACTTCTGTGTAGGTGCTAAAATAACAATAAATAATGAAATGAAGGTAAAATTATAGCAAAGAATAACACAAAAACAGTTAGTCCTCAATTGGAATCTGCAGTTATGGCCTTAAGCAATGCAATGGCTAAATGGGAAATCATGTGACTACAACTATGCTTTTCTTTTCCCCGTTGCCCCACCCTTTGAAATGCTGACCTTGACTCCAAAGGGTTGCCTATAACTAACACGTCTCAGTTTCACACCTTTGGCTTTTGTTTGCTTCCTAATGATTTTTCTTCAGCTTCTTACTCCCCCCCCACACACACACACATTCACTCACCCTTTTGAATACTCACCCAGGCACTGGGATAATTAGAAAGAAGGGATACAGTGTTTGTATTTACATCCTTTGGAGAGGAATGAATTGCAAGAGAATAAGCATGCACATAATGGGGAATATAAATCGAAAGAAACTTTTTTAGCACCTTCGTAAGTTCAAATGGTTGCTGAACAAAGCAGTTGGTAAGTGAAGTCTACCTCTAATACCATAATATTTTGAAAACAATTATAATTTCACAGTATTATATTAACAGAATTATCTTAACTCATTGAAATACAAATGTTTAATTTAAAAACATCCATTCAATTGTAAGCTTTTGGATTCTTTAGAATTAATAGTAATGTTAAAATATTGTGGGATTTCATAATAGAAAGTGATAAAATCTTGGTTCATATTATGCCATATTTAACTGTGGTTGAAAAAAAGGAAGTATAGGTAATTGATGTGGCAATACCAGGGGATAGTCAAATAGAAGAGAAAGAATTGGAGACGGTCACAAAGTATGAAGATCTGAAAATCAGATTTGAAAGACTATGGCATAAATTGGCCACAGTAATCCCAGTGGTTATAGGCAGACAGCACTTAGAAAATTTATGCATTAACAACATTTCCATCTGTCAATTACAAAAAGCCACACTGCTTGGATCCTCACATGTACTGTGCTGATAGATTATGACATCCCAAGGTTCTTGGAAAAAACTCAGTGTGTATGA